TGCTGGAGCCAAGTGCTGGACTTGGAGCGCTGCCTGCAGGAGGAGAGCAGCTGGGCGCTCAGCCTGGCTATGGCGAGCAGCCCAGCCTGAGGAGGCGGAAGAAGAGGGTCGAAGCAGGAGAGTGGCGAGGTACCTACCTGGCTATGGTGTACACCATCTTCATCACCTTGATAGGCACTGCATCTGGAAGGCCCCAGTTGGGGTAGGGCCGCACCAAGGAAGCTTGAGTCAGAGTCAGGCCACACATGATTAACGGGGGACCCCCAGTTTTTAATGGTTTGTTAATATGGTGTGCACTCTATGGAATGATGCAATTTTTGGCTAAAAAGGGCTTCTTGTTTTCTTATAAATAGCATTAGAAAAACGCTGAAATTTTGGGTCTCCGTTAACCGCCTCTCAGTCCGTCATAGCTTTGGCATGTGCGAGGAGGAAGAAGGGGGAAGCCATGTCTATGGTGGACCTGTTGTTGTGTCGGCAGTAAGAGGGAACTTCGGATATTGATTCTGGTTCATCCACTAATTGTTATTACTATTATTGGGAAAAAAGAATCTAATTAGAGAGGAACAGGGTTGGAAAGTGGGGAGGGAGGGTGACGACATTGGAGACAGGGTGGGTAGGGGCAGCTGAGGGAGGGAGGAACTAGTTCTTAGCAGCAGGTATCTGGCGCCTGATACAGGGCAAAGAGGTTTCCCACTATTTCTCAATAACGTGCACAGTTAATCCTCTGGACACCAGAGTAATCAATGCTGGCAGGCGTTTTCTCAGTTACTTTCCCTGAGGTCATCCTGAATGGTTTTGTATATGGGACGCTGGACCCGTTTTCTAGCAGATGATGCTCCCCACCAATAGATGGAGCCTCTCCCAGGGTGCTAGTGGTGCCTGTTTTCTCAAAAAAAAAAAAAAAAAAAAAAAAAAGACTGGCGAAGTCAAGGAGGAGGTGGAAGGTGGAGAAAGAAGGGGGATTTGTCATCGGTCTTGCTGGTGTACATCTTCTTCTTCTTCTTCTTCTTCTTCCTCTTCTTCTTCTTCTTCTTCTGCTTTCTCTCTTCTTTGGTCTCTATCTCTTTGCAAGTGCTTTCATTTCTTTCGCACTTGGGTGGCATTGTCTTTCCTTGTGAATTTGCACTTTGGAAATGACAGGTCCAGCTAAGAGCGGGGGGTGGTGGTTGTCTATGGTTCTGCCAAGAGTACCACACATTTCCTCCATGTATATGTCACGGCATGAAAAATTCGTACTTGCAGGTTTGCACTGACCAGATTGCTTATGTTCCAATCAACTGCAAAAGAAGATATATTGCCGACGAATCTGGGTAATAGGCTAGCCCAGTACTCCACTGAGTAGAATTGTGAGGTCCCCGGCTTCAGTTCCCTCTGATATAATAAATCTGTTTGTTGAAAAAGGATGTTTTGCTCGGAGCTGAAAGAAACCAGTTTTCTGATGACCTACCCATATTATCTCTAAATTGTCTGTCATTGAATTGTTTATTCATGTAATCAATGAAAGACTCCTTCCTGTGACCAACCATACCGATTTTCACCCATACTATGTGTGTGTGCGCGATAGCCCGCACGGGAGATGATGTAGATGAACTACTGTCTAGAAGTCAGAGATAATTTGATTACCAGGCTGAGGGGCATCAATGGTTGGAACTAGCATCCTTTAAAACTGGAATGATACAGAGAAGATTAGCATGGCCTCTGCGCGAGGATGACACACATAAATCAAGAAATGGTCCAAAAAAAAGAGAAGAATCATCATGCATTATTTGATGCACATATTTGTGGCTATTATGTGGTTTCTGTTGGCCATCTTTTGTTCGTGTCACTGATGGAAAGGCAGGGCACAGGAAAGAACACGTTTTTTGGGAGGACTGCATCATTGCTGGGGGGTGCAAATGAGCTGGGAAACATTCAGAAGATCATCCTGAAGATAACTGCTGTGCTGGTTCTACAATCCAGCATCCTCTGCTTAGCTGCGCTCATTTATTTGTTGGTACATCGGAAACAAGATTTCGTCGAATCCCTGCGCTTTGTCGTCGTGCTCATGGTCGCTTCTGTACCTCTGGCCATTGAGATTGTAACAACTTGCACGCTGGCTGTTGGATCCAGATCCCTAGCCTCTATGAATGCCATTGTCACAAGACTGGTAGCTATCGAAGAGATGGCAGGGATGAATGTCCTTTGCAGCGACAAAACAGGCACATTGACCCTTAACAAGATGGTTATTCAGGTGATTGTGGACAAAACAGGTCTCATCCCCCCTACACCTGCTTTCCTGCCTTGCTGATGCCTCCCTGCCTTCTGTCCAGGTCTGGCTCTCTGTTCCACTTGTCTTCCTGTCTACCGACACCTCACTGTAGGTCGTTTGTGTTTAGTGCCTTCGGCTTTGAAGAGTTGTTTCCTAAAGAGATTGGAGGTGTAATTGGCATTCCCTGCCACTTTGATCAGTAATCGAAATATTTCAAACCCTGTTGAATATGTATCAAAGTCAATGCGTGCCAGCCTTTCTCAAGAGACCAAATGGATGTCTCTATCAGCTCCTGTGTTTCTGAATCACTCCATTCGTTTTCGCACCTTGAACGTTATGTACACGCATTCCAGATTGCTATTATGGCCACTGAACTTCTGCGTTCAAGTAATCAGTCTCTAATTTCCTGTTGTACACTGTACCCACCTCGACAAAGTAATATGGTTGTCAAGCTGCATCATTGGAAAATGCGTGAACCTCTTCCTCTCTCTATCTGTATCTGCACAAGGTAGCATTGTCAGAGGATGTGTGGACCTTTCTTCTTCTTCTTCTTCTTCTTCTTCTTCTTCTTCTTCTTCTTCTTCTTTGATGTCGTCATTTTCTTGTTTTTTGTCATCTCCATCCTCCTCGTCTTTGTCTTCTGTGTGTTCTTTGCCTTCATCTTCTTCATCTTCTTCATCTTCTTCATATTCTTCAGTGTCTTCGCCCATGTCTTCGTCTTCTTTCTCGTGCTTGTCTTCGTCTTGTCTTCTTCATCTTCTTCTTCATTGTCTTCTTCTTCTTCTTCTTCTTCTTCTTCTTCTTCTTCTTCTTCTTCTTCTTCTTCTTCTTCTTCTTCTCCTCCTCCTCCTCCTCCTCCTCCTCCTCCTCCTCCTTTTCTTCTTCCCCTCCCTCCTCCTCCTCCTGCTCATGGTTTTTGTTGTTGTTGTTGTTGTTGTTTTCTGTTGTTTGTTGTTGTTTGTTGTTGTTGTCGATTGTTGTTTGTTGTTGTTTGTTGTTGTTTGTTGTTATTGTTGTTGTTGTTGTTGTTGTTGTTGTTGGTGGTGGTGGTGGTGGTGGTGGTGGTGGTGGTG